GGCGGGACAGCGGGGCGGGGGGCGGCGGTCCGTCCCGGCGCCGGGGCAAGCCGAGCGTGGCCCTTAGGCAGACAGGGATGCGGGCTCTGCCGTGTCCGCGGGCGAGGGGCAGCGGGAAAACAGCGAGAAAAGAGGACCGGGGGCTGGGGGGGAAACCAGGCTGGATGCGGCGGCGTGAGAAGGCGAAGCGGGACGGCGTAGGAGCACACAGCGGAGCGGGGCACGGACGTGTAACGCAGACACAAGAATCCGTCCCTGGTGCTGGGCCGTCCTGGGGGAATGGGAGGAGCGGGCTCCCTTCGGAGGATAATAAACTCTGGAATGAGGGTGTGGGCCGCTGCTCCTCGCTCCCCCCTTCATTCCAGATGCATGATGACACCACGTCCCGCCATCTCGCTGGCTTCTCCTTTTTCTTTCTTTTTTTTTTTCTTTTTTTCCCCAAAAAATCGTATTTTGAAGACAACCAAAAGTAGAACGTGTTCTGGGTGTGGCTGCATGTGATTTACCCAATAGCCATAGTGGGGGGGACTGCTGAAGGGGAAAGACAGAGCGTCTGCTGCTGAAGGGAGCGGAGACCGAGGGCTGCAGTAAGTGATGGGGACTCTATCTGTTCTCTCAGTGCTCCTCAAGATAATTTAAAAGTAGCAGAGAGTGGAGGGAGATAACAAGGGGAAACTTTTCTTTGCATGCTGGGGGTGTGTGTGCAGGGGGGCTTAGCCACCTCGATGAGAAAAGAGATGGAGACTGGGGAAAGGAGATAGAAGGAGAAAGAAAGCAGATGGAGTTATATGTTCAGTCCAAAGTGTTTCAGAAACACCTGGAAAACTGGCCAGATTAGGAGGGAGACAGGTGGGAGGGAGGCTGGAAAGACCAAATGGTCTTGAGAGGGAAATGGAGGCAGCAAGCAAAAAGTTTCTGTGCTATAGGGGAGGGCGTCCCTCTTCCAGCCTTAGCTTTCCTCTGACTCCTCTCTCCACTCCACAGGGATGAAGACCTCTGGCGCCTGTATACTGTTGTGTCTCTTAGCACTCTCCTTGTCCCCAGCTGGTGAGTCCTTACGCCAGGGGGAGGATTTCTTCTCTACCCCGGCCCTGCAGAGTTTCCAACACAGGCTAGCGTGCAGTGACCTGAGGAGAAGGACAAGAGACATGTAAATGGACATTGAAAGGGGAAGGACTGAACAGGAAAGGCATGGTGGATATAGGGTTGTAAGGAAAAATTTAGGAACTGGGGACTGGTTCCCATATGTGTTCACTCTCCAGTAAATACTGGGAGTCACAAGAGACAGATGTCCACAGCCTCCACTGCAGGGATGTTTGGGCAAGCAAAACAGCCAGGTCGAGTTGAGAAAGAGGGTTAGCTGTGCTTTGTGCTTGCTGCAGGCTGCAGTACCACCTGTGTTTGCATCATCTGCGGAGCATTTCCCAGTGCTCCACGAAATTTGTTCTGTCATAGCTGTGAAACATTTGCTGTCACTAGCGGTTCCTGCTGGAATGGCCCCTTTCCAGGCCACTTGGTGCCAGGAGGTTTTGTAGTTTTTTTGTATAGCTGTTTTGAGAAACCTATTCTCTGTAATTCAAACCACTCTCTGCTTTTGTTGTTCTTATTCTGATTTGTTGCTCCACTTCTTTGTTTGCTTGGAGTTACTTTGGCAAAAATTCAGGTGGGATCAAATTTGTTAAAAAAAAAACCCAAAAAACACCAAAAAACCAAAACAAGAGGGCAGCATCAGACAGTATAGTCGAAAGACTCAGGACAGACAGCAAAAGATTAATTCCAGTGAATGGAAAAAACTTCGCCCAGGAAAGCTTGTATGTAGGAGACAGATGACTGCACCTATCACATTCAAATCAGGTTATTCCAATCTAGTCTCCTCGGTCCTCCCCTCATGCTGAAGCCTGTTTTTGCTCCCAATAGCACTTTTCCCTGTGAAGGTGCATAGCAGAGGATGCCATGTTTGTGACCGTGAAACAGGACAGGCATCCAAGAGATGAGCTTGTAGGTGGCCTCCAAAGTTAGAGGCAGAAAAAAAAAGGCTGTGGTTTTTATAATGCATGAAGGAGGCCTGAAAGGAAGATTCTTACTTTTGTGTATTTTGTTTTAGCATTTCTGGGTTTTTTTGTTTTAACTTGGAAAACAACAGGAATCACTAGCTGGTCTCTCATTGTCTCTTTTGGTTTTGGGTGAGCTACAGATTCGGTGAATTAGGGTTGCAGTTTTCTCAGACCTCAAGGATGAATTTATTGCAAGTTGGCCAATAAAGTCTAATCATTTATAAAGCATATGAATTGGGTACTGTAGCAAATACAAATTGAAGTGATTGAAAATCTGATAAGAAAGTCACCTCTTTTGTCTCCTCATATACAGAGGTTTTACTTCACTTGTGTCCTATTGTTTTAGAATTGGACCGGTTATCTAGTTATGTCCTAGGGAGGAGAAAAAAAAAGCTAGTAAGAACTGACTTTACAATGTTAGAGAAAAGGAGGGGAGCTTCCCCCCTTTTTCCATATGACTCCTGTTGCAAATCTGGCACCACTGGACCCTGCAATGGTTTCAGAATTTGTGTTCTTCCTTTTCTATCAGAAACAAATGACAAGGTATTCAATATCATTTTTCTCCTCTACTTGTTACCATTAAGAGAATAGCCAGGACAGGGAAAGTTTTGGGCTGCAGCACCCTGTGCACTTAAGTTATTATACATGTCTGGCTCTCCCTGGGTCAGTCACTAGCAGCTGAGCCCTTGCTGGCAGCTGGGTGGAGAACGGAATAGCAGGGTCCAGCAAGTCCTGTAATGCTGCAGAGCAGAATTATATAGAGGTCCCAAGAGTCCCTCTGCAGCCTGCAAGTAACTGCTCTTGGAATGAGGAAGAACTAAGACTAAAGCTCTAGACCTAATAGTTTTTACCCATACAGTGCTCCCATTAAGAACAGAAAGCTAAAGGCTGAGTTCACAAGACATAGCAGGGTGTACTGGTTTTTGGGCTGGTCCTGCACACATCCCTGCAGTACCCCAGATCACTGGGTTTTTCCTGCCAACTCTTTCCTTCATCCCACCCCAGTTATGCAGACATTTCCCTCCTCTTTCCTAGCAGGAAATATTTTCCTATTCCTGGCTGCTGTAGGAAGCAGCTCTCGTACCCTTTATATTTGGACAAACGAACAGTCTAGCTCAGTTTCAAGTTCACCTCTTCCACACAGCATGCACAGCCAAGGCTTCATCGTTCTCCCTCTCCAGTGCACCCAGGGGCTGAGAGGGGAAAGAGCTTCTGCTCTGTGCTCCATACCCAGGCAGGATGATGGACCAGATAATTATTTGCCTAAGGAGCTACAAGACCCACAATCTGTTTCTTACTGTGCCAATGACTTAATCTGTGACCCCAAGCAAATAATTTCCATGACTTGGTTTCCTCTTTTATACAATGGAGATGATAGGGATTTTGACCAGCCTCCAGAGCAGGGAGGCAACGTGCAAATTGTTTTCAAAATGCATCAAATGGGGTTTCAGAAATGCAAAGTCCAGTGGCAGATCTGGAGGTATTTACTATCTTGTCCCTGTGCCTAGCCTTTGACCCTGGTGGAAGCAGCAGGGTTAGGATCAGGACCTGCTGTATCCACAAGTCTTTGAAGAACAAACCCAGCCAGCAGTGGAGGCGGCGGCAGAGAGGAGATAATTTCTCCCTTCAGTAGAGGGCAGTGGTGTCTCCTGGACAGATTAAGCATCTCAAAAAAATTTCACAAAGCCTGCAGACGATAGAAATCCCTCTCTCTGTCGTTCCTTCACTTCCCTCTCTTTTTCTCTTTCAGGCTGGTTTCCATGGGTGGTCAATGGGCAAGAACTGGAAAGTGCAACTGGTAAGTATTAGAGGCATGTTATGTGCTAAAGACTGCTCAGGTGACCCAGTTTGTCCTGTGTAGTTACAGCCTGTTTAATTGCAAATGCTGTTCTTTGTTTCCTTGCCTCTGACATTGTGAGCTTGCCTTTCAGAGAAGATTAAACAAGCCCTCCAAGACAACCTGTTAGGTGTTGTGTGTTCTTTACAAATAATCCACTAGTGTTGGGGTCCTGAATACTTAGCTGAAGTGCATGAAGTTAGGTTCACAGTCAAGGGTTGTGAGAGATCCACGAGAGCTGATAGCTCTTCAGCCTTGAGATGCTGGGGGAATTCTACTGCTGCTCAGGAAAATGCCAAGGAAAAGGGTGCACAAATGGCATGGTGCTTTAGCAGTGAGGCCACTGAGAAAGGATATTGACTGGTCTTCATACTGGCTGTGTTGTTGGGGGTGAATTGCTTTATCCCTCTGGACGTCTTTCCACTTCTGTGACATGATAAGATAAAATGAATGTATGTTTGCATGATGCTTCAGCACCCAGAAGAACCACAAGGGCCTGCCTTTTCTTTAGACCGGAGCCCCTGGATAAGCCATCAGACATCTCCCAGCTATGATCCTGCCGTGTGTAATACCCGGGGCTTCCTGGAAAACTATTCAGAAGCCAGTCCAGAATGTGTCCACCAAGCTTCCCTTTCCTTCACACTTTATCCCTCCATCACACCTACCCCAGCTTTGCCATCAGTTGCCTTTCAAAGAAACTCATCTGCTGATGAATTTCTGCAGTCGAAGTTCTGGAGTTGCCTCCCTCCTTCTCTGCAGTGAGTGCCTCAGCTGTCTGTCCTACTGATGCGGGAGCCAGCAGCACCTTCATTTCAGAAGATGCCCACAGTAGCCATATCTGAGAAGTCAAAATACGAATCAGTTCAGTGAGGGTCGATGCAACATGTGCACTAAGAAATCCAGCCCCAAGCCAGTCACTGAAAAGGAGGATGGATACAGGTGGGATGGGGGTACTGTGTTTGTTTATGTATTTACTGGATTGGATCCCCCTGTCTCATGAGCCTACCGTGGCAGCCAAGGTAATTCCAGCTAGCTATGGCTAGCTATGTAAGGGACCACAAAGTAAAGACAAGCTCTCTCAAGGACATTCTCTCTTTTCCAGGTGAAGTTAGCACCGACTCCCTTATCAGCACCGTCGGTAAGCTCCTATCTCTTGGCAACTTCAGGCTTCTTTTCCTCTTTTCACCTTTACTCCTGCCTACATAGCCCCAGAAATTATCCATTATACTCAGAAACTCCTCTTCCCCACTTTTGACATCTAGCAGTGCTCTTCCAGCATTTATGGCTCTCTGGGAGCCCTTTCTGTGCTCTGTGCAGGGAGATGAATTTGGGGTGGCTTAATGGCCTGTTCTCCAAAGAAATGCCAATCTCACCTGGTGTACCAGGGCTCTCTGAAGCTGTTTGCACTACAGGAAGCCATGCAATCCGAAGCTCACACAGCCTGAGCTTCCAGAGAAGGTTGCAGGAAGGAAGAGACTAAATGACAAGGGAGAGAAATTGGTCATGTTCACCAGTTAACTGGGCAGCACTGGGACACAGGTTGTGTCTGTGTCTGCTGACAGCTAGTGGCCATGCTTGAGTGCTCAGGAGACAGAGGTAGCAAAAAACCTGAAAGACAGTAATAAAGCAAACTCTGAGCAGTGGTGGGATGGGGAGGTGGAAATATTGTTCTTTGAGTACTGTCTTCCCGGCTGTGCCTGCAGCTGTGTCACTGGGGGGCAGCAAAAGGTATGCGAAAGGTAGCGTAGATGGAGGATGCTTGAAGATGAGCACTTGTAGCATGCAATGTGTCTCCTCAGAGAGCAAAGCCTTGCTGTGGAGGTAGCCCCAGGGGAAGGACACAGAGCTGATGGGAGTGTAGGCATTTACAAGACAGGCTAATCCTGCCAGACTCACAATGGGGAATGGGGGAGAGGCTCAAGAGGGAGCCTCCCCACTTTCTTCATGAGTCCTGTTTCAAATCCAGCACCACTGGCCTCGGCGCTGGTTTCTCTCTCTGCTGGGGCAGTCTCTAAAACACATCTCTCTGAGGTGGTGGGGGACCAGGCAGGGCAGGGAGAGGGAGAACACATCTGGTCGATGATATGGTTTAAAAGACAAAGGAGAGGCAGCGGTGCCTGGCTGTTGCTGGGAAGTGCGCTCTGTGTGTAGGAGAGCTCATCTGACACTGATGTCCCGCTCTCCAGGACAGCAGTTCCATGGTCTCTCCTCTGCCCGGTGACATCAGGGTCTCTCCGTGCTCGTCAGCTGGCTAGAGTATTGTAGGTCAAGCTGACCAGCTGTCGTGGGACAGCACTGGAGGAGAAAAGTGGAAGCACGATATTGTATACTCAAGGTGCATGATCTTTCTGGTGGGGATGGGAGGTGAAAGCAACCTGTGTCAGTCTCGTGTTCAGTGTGTGAGACCTGACAGTCTGTAGGAGGATAGATAAGACTTGGTGTCCAGACCAAACTGGCGGTGGCTAACCTACATCTAAACCTGAAAAGAGTAAATGGGAAGCCTCTACAGCAGACTTTGGCTTCAAAATGCTTATTGTTGAGGGGTGAAGAAGAAACTCTTCACAAAGGATGTGCCACGGGACCCATGTCTGCTCTACAGCGTCCCATCAGCTTTAGGACACCCAGCATATTTGCAGGGAAAGCCTGCAGTTACTCTGACAAGTCGGATAATAACATCACGATCAGCGTTGTCTATGAACCAGATGTGGGATGGCTACTGGTCAGGAGTGGTGAGCCATCAGCAGAACTGTGGGAGGGGGAAAAAGGCTGAAAGCTCAAATTAAGATCTTTCAGAACATCTTCTCTTTTTTCCAGCTGCAGCTGTCACACCACCTGTCCTTCTTAGTCCTGGTGAGTTTATTCTCAATTCACAGCCAAATGTTGTGGACCCCCCTTCCCTCTCCTTGCCCCGTCCCTTGCACACCCAGAATCCTGCCTTCCCTGACTGCCCCTAACCGCAGCCTGGATGCCCAAAAGACTTCTCCTCTCTACGCCCGTCTCTTTTGTCTGTGCTCCTGGCTGACGCTATGGCATGTGATCAGGAGAAGTAGAAGTCCTTTATAATGACTGATGAAAACTTGCGCCCGGCAGTCAGCCCTCCAAGTTCCTTTCCAGTTTCTCACTGGGTAAATAATAAAATGTACTGGTTTACTGTGGTACAGGTGGGTTGCTTTATCAGAGGGAACAACAAACGGACCTTCTTTTGACTCCTTGTCATGGACATTAAAGAACCAGCAGTCTGGGGATGCTGTTTCCTTACTAAGAGGCAGTCACAGGCTCCTTGGCTTCTTGCCTAGATGGATGGCAATTACAGCAAATAAATACGTTTGCCCGACCTTTTGAATTATAAGTCAAGATGCCCTTACAGTGTAATTTTGAACAGTAGTGGTAATGCTTTATGGTAAAGCTTGGGGAGATTATTAGCATTGTTGGCTGGGTAGCTGGCACTACATTCATATTGGATTTGTACCTTCTCTTATGGTTTCATGTCAGTAGCAATGAAATCTTTTTCCACATTAGAAGTTACAATGGACAACTCTTGAAAGAGCTTTCCAGTTACTTGTTTTGAGTAAGCTGATGTCTAGGAAGGAATCATGGTAAATCACACTAACTTTGCTACCTTCTGTCTTCCAGTTCAGTCTGACAGCGAAACTACCACAGCTTCATCAGGTGCGTTTAAGTTTGCTGCCTGCACCCTCTCCCAGACCCACTTTCACCCGCCCTGTTACTTCTCCAGGCAGGCGCTGGCTGAGCGCTGAGCTTTGTCTCCTGGAAAATTCTCTTCACCCTGTTCCTTGAGTTAGAAGCACTGGAGAATGACAGTAGTGGAAGCTGAAGTCTTCCCCTGGGTGGCATACCTGGGAGGGGAGGAACTGGCAGATCACCAGACCAGATACGCTGGGTCAATATTCTGTCATTGTCAGTGGCCAAGACCTGGCATTTCAGAAGGAAGTGCAAGAAAACTCATCGTAGTTAGCTACGGGGTTGATTGTCCAGAAAAGAAAGGAACTAGACTGGTGTCCTGAAGTGTGAGATTGCAGATCTATTAGGAACTGCGTCTGAACTGTGTCTTAAACATGTGACTACAATTTACATTTTGTTTATTTGTGTCTGTCCCCTTTACAGCATGTGCCTTCTGTGTTGAGGATGCCCAGTGGGCTTGTTTTGCATTTCACTCAGCTTTCCCTTACTTTTGTCTTATGAGGCAAGGGGATCAGAAATGTCTGCCTTATTTTCCTCTTCTCTAAACCTTCCCCGTCTCTCACAAGAGAGTGGAAAATAGAGGCAAGGGGCCTTCCCTAGATGCCTGGAGGACAGTACCTAGTGGTGAAGCTCTATGTGTGCCAGAATGAGTGCACCTGCCAGTGATGCTGGATTGCACCTCTGTGTGTGTGTGTGTTCCCAGATTGTCGTGAAGAAAAGTTCCCTTGCACACGCCTGTACTCTGTTCACAAACCAGTAAAGCAGTGTATCAGCTACCTCTGTGTTACAAGGTAAGAAACCAGCAGTCCCTAAGAAAAGCCCTAAAAGCTCTCCAGAAACAGCATGTCCAGTTCAGCAGTTGTTTCCTTCGGAGGGTAGAGGTTCCCTCAGGGAACTAGTTGGTGAGGTGAATCCTATCCTCAGAGTGTCCTTTTAAGGTGATTAATTAAAACAGCACAATAACTATTATCTGTGCAGCACTAAGGAGCTGTAATATGCCCTATATTGTAATCCCTATTTAAGGTATTTGGCCATTTCATGAAGTCTTGACAAAGATTACTTTGCTATTGACAGCAGCCTTATTGTAGACTAACTAATCCTAAAAATTTAGGATTTGCCTCCTCATCCGTGAATATACATCTTTATTGCCTGTATCCCTTTTTTGTTTCTTTGGGTCCCTGTGCCTTTTGCTGCTGTCCTTGGCATCTTCCTGGTGATCCCTCAGCGTGCGTCGCATGTACATAATAAACAAGGAGGTGTGCTCTCGCATTGTCTGCAAGGAGAATGAGGTCATGCAAGGTGAGTGATAGCACAAGCTAGCCTAGAAGAACAGCTGCAGCCATCTGATAAGAGTCTCCAAGCTAACTAATTACCCAGCCCCAGTCCATATGTAGTAGTTTCCCTGGACTTGGTTTAGGGGAGCTCTAATGCAATGCAGCCTTGTATCCAGTACACACGCCATGAAAAACACTAGGAAGTAGATACTGTACTACCAGGTAGTATGAGGGCTCTGCCTTCCTCAATCTTGATCACGCTCTGCTAGCCCCAGACGTACCCTTACTCAAAGCTGCATTCCTTTGAGGTTAAAGAATAACTCTCAGTATTTCTATTCATGAATAGAAACAGTCTAGGTTTCTTATGCAGTCTTCGTTGCAGTGATTCTAATATGTATTGTACATTAATAAAGCCAGAAGGAAATGAATAAAAGCCTAAGGACTTGTTCACTTTCCTCATGTATATGAGCATTCCCTAGTTCCAACAGTTTCTGTAGATGCAGTGAAGGATGTACCTCTAACTATTCTGGTGGTAGAGAATTTGAAGGAAGCTTTGATTATCTGTCAACTTGTGTGTTTGCTATGTCTTCAGATGAGATCTGTCGCCAGCTGGCTGGCCTTCCTTCTCGACGTCTCCGCCGATCTGGGCAACCCCTGCAGCTCCCTTGCAGACAACTCCTGGAGCAGCAGCGCGGGAGGCCTGATGCTCTGTGAGCTACCAACAGTAGGAGAGAAAAATGAAGGAAGAGAAGAGAAATCATCATCCACTACCTACAACCCGAGACAAGTCCTTCTCATTTGTGATTTCCCTACCATTTCCTTGCTTTTCTGCCTTCCCCCACATCCTCTTCTTCAGCTGCTGCAGTGCACAGAGTCCCCTCTCTGCTAGTTTCTCATGGTGGCTGTTGTCATCTTCTAAATCTGTTGCTGAGGGTGTGGGATGCTCCCCTTTTTTCTCTCAAACTCTGTTTGGCAGGCCATGAACTGCTCATTTCCCAGAGGTCCTTATAAATGTGCTGCATCTTCTCTTGTTTTGCCCCTGTAGAGAGACATACATGGGGACAGGATGTAGTCCTCTCCGACGGTACAGATGGCCTAAGCTGCATCTCGTGGAGGAGTGCAAACCTTTATGCCCTAGGACTCCTGGCCTAGGTTTCTTGCATGGCATCAGTGTGAGTTCGGATATGGTTAGTCAAACTGAGCCTCTCCGTTCCTCCTGAGCCACTGAGTTTGCTGTGTGATAGCACAGCCTCCTCCTGTGTCTGCTGGCCTCAGAGAAGTGACAGAACTGGGAGATGAGCTGTCCTCAACCCAAGGCAAACCTCATTGTCCCTGTATGGCAGCAGATCATTTATAACTACCTCTGGGAAGTTCTTTGTCTCAAGCCCATTGCCTCCCTCACACACAACTGCTACTGAAAGGAAGAATTCCAGATTTAGTATGGCATTATATTTTTCTCAAGAAGATTATGTTGGAACAGAGTGCTGCCTCTTCCTCTCCCTCCTCTCCCCTCCCCCATTCTGTCCCTCCCTTCCCACTGAAGGAATCTCTTGATGCCCATTCCAGGCAAGTTCCAGGGAGCAGTAAGTGTGTCTGCCTCCACTCTTAAGCCCAAGAGAGCCCACTAAGAACCTATATGTGTCCTCGCAATACTGGGAATTTGCAATGAATTAGCTTGTCTTGGTCTGGCTACCTCCACACCCTCCAGTTGCTGAGCCTGCTTTCAGTATCTCCGCTTGAGTTCCTACCTCCTGACCTGGGAGCTCCTGCACAAAGCAGAAAGGAGTCACAAATTGGAATGGGATGTGGGTGAAGAATTGTTATGTGGGATGTCTGGGTTTTCCTGCAGGTTCTCTGGCTGTGCTGAACTGCACAGAGCCAGGTGCTGGAGGGGAGGTAAATGTATCTGCAGGTATAAGCACTTATAGAGGCAGGCCAATCTGGGGAAAAGAATTCACTCTGGTAGCACTGGATGACTGTGGTCTGCTCGTGAACTTTGTTTTCCAGATGTATGGAGAACTTTTCCAAGTGTGCAGGCAGTTTTCACTATGAGACTGGGTAGGATAAGTGGGGAAGAGCTGTCTGAAGTATATTAATCACTCTGTGTGACTCTTAGTGGCATAATTCTGTGGTGCACTGGAGCTGGGAAGCTTAGCTCGCTGCAGCAGAAGATCAGCAAGACCCTGTCTCTGGATCTCTAAGCATTTTTCCCAACTAACAGAAAGTCAGTTTGCTAGAGCAGGCATTCACGCCTGTCACATAATATACTCTGCTGCTGAACTGAGTACCATTCAGCCTTGCAGAAGCACTGGTCTGCTGCACAGAGCCAGGGTCACACAATGTAGGGGACAGTTTGCTGCACAGAGGCAGACGTCTCTGGAAAAAAGAGCAAAACAATTAAGGTAAGAGCCTCTCCCTGGGACTCGGATTTCTCCTGTATGCAGGAAGAAGCTGGTTACATCCTCTGTGCAGACACAGTTTTGTTCCATATAAGGTAAAAAATGGCCATAGATAGGCTAAATCTCTATATTAATCCAGTACACAGGAGAAAGAATTCCAAGTTATGCGGTGACTGGAATTTCATCCTATATATAGGGGCATCAGACCCCTAAACAGAGGATGATGCTCCTCTTGAGTGCTCGAGGCTCATGAGACTAGGGATGGAGGAGGAATTTCTCTGTACTGAGAGTGTGCACATTTCTGTAGAGAGGAGGGCACTGAGAGCTTGATCTCAGAGCCATTCAAGCCACTGGCAGCCACTGACTTCTGTGCTGGGACGCCTGTGGAATTTGCTTGTGTGGAGGAAGGTAGGATGGAGATGAGATGTTAGAGGCTGAGCTCTTGGAAATTGGACTAGGCTAAGTCTCCACTCTGTATTTAGAGTTGAATGTAAGCTGATATAGATATATAACTGTATAACATAGCTACTGTACAGTATATAGAAATTTAACATTCATACAGTTTGGGGAATGGTTAGAAGCCTTTCTGTTGCTTGCTTTCAGCAGGGAGAGGAAGAGGTGCTCCTCTCCAGGAGAACACTGTTTTCATGCTAGAGTCCATATAATGCACACAAAAATATTAAAAGAAAATGTATTTCCTGTTATTCTTGGCAACTCTCATGTGTTTGGGTTTATTTGCTTCTAGCTGTATTTCCTCCAGATTTGTGGACAGACTTGACTTCAGCCCAAATCTGTCATTTGGACCTCTTTACTCCCTGCTAGCCCAGTCCTCAGCTGCCACCCTTCCTTCGCTCATGTATTACAGGTCTTCGTGGGAGGTCGTTATTTTTTTCTAGAGATACCGAAAATTGTCGTCAGCATTTTTTTTTCCATGGATAGCTGTGCTAGATTCTCCTGACAATTGTTATCTGCTGAGCACAGGGGTAACTCCTCCCAGCCCATGAGATTTGTGCTGAGAACACATCTTTTCACTGTGCACATCATGACTTGCTGGTGGAGAATTACCATCTCCAAGTAAAATGATAAGATGGCTGAAATAAGAGAAGCGCTGTGATCAATCTTCTCATAAGCAAAGAAGAATTTGTTCGCCAGAGTCATTTAACTCAGTAATGGGAATAACTGAAAGACTACATTAAAAATTATATATCTAGGTCAAAAGTATTAGGAAAATTTCTCTTTCATTGGATTTCTGACTTTTGCATAGATTCATCAGGCACTGCCTGTACATCATATTTTAATGGAAAAGATGGAGCACTCAGAGCATGGAGGACTCTAGGCAGCGTCTTCATGTGCAAGCAGTCAAGTCTGCATTTAGATGGTATTTCTAGAACAAAAGTGGCTGTGCCCCAAATTACCCATTAAACTGCCTCTGACAGTGTCCAATAGTTCGTCAGGACTAAACCACACAATGCAAGTTATTGCACAACACTACCCCCTAGAATCAATGCTCCTTCCTGGCTAATGCTGCGGTATCCCTGTTTCGGACTGTTACAATGAAAGCAGCCTCAGCCTGAGTGGCTGTAGATGTTGCTCCCATCTACACAGGCCTGACCCTGCTCTGACTCATGAGCTCTTGGCCTTTGCAGTGCCCCTATATCAGCATGTTCCACTTTCTCTGTGGGCAGAGTACAACATATGCCATCGACGTTTTGTAATTCAGTTTATTCTTCCCTTTCCTTACAGTACTAGAGTCCACAGACAGGCTTCCCCGTCTTCATTAGCACTTATTCCATACACAGATTTATCTCCCCTGCCATTCCAACCTGAATTGTCATGGTGCTGCGTTGGTGGTCTCTGGATGTTGCCTTCTCTTGTAAGCTGGGGAAATGGTTTTAAATATAGCTCCAGCTAGGTCTGTTTCTCATGAAGTTGGACTAGCCACAAAGAAAGCTGCCAGAGTCCCATTTTAGAAGCATGATCTAGAGTTTGTGGCTGATTTTCATAAACTATTCTGACTCGGAGCAGGACTTAGATGGCCTCCAGTCACTTCCCACACAATGGTTGTTCTTGCTCATTTCGCTGTCGCGGTTCCTGAGTACCGATCAGTGTTGCCAGTTTGAAGGCTGCTGTTTCAAGGCCACTGCTCTGATGCCTGGTCCCCAGTTTGAAGTGGTACCTCACTTTGCTGGGCATATGGAGCTGGAGCTCCCTGCAAGGGAAGCTGGCCACACCAAGGGCTTTCTGCTGCACCTGGAAAGCAAGAGTTGTTCCACCTTCCCATCTCTCCTTCTCCTCTTTGTTCTCTGCCTCTATTATTTTCCTCATCTCTTCTCTTTCTTCTCTGTTCATATGTTCATCTTGGAGCAAGAAACACAGTGAGGAGGACAGTGGGGCTGAAGTGGGGCAGCAGGAAGGGTGCTCGATGAGGTGGCACATGGCATTGCCAAGTGGGGCTGGGGGCAGGGGGCAGTGCTTGGCCTATGCCAGCTCTCCTTCTCTCTTGCCCTCCAGTTCTCACATGGCTCCCTCAGCTGCCACGCTCAGGATTTTCTGAAGGGAAGGACATGCCAGTCAGGGAAGGGAGGGGAGAACGGCACCTCAGGTCAACTTATGCACTGTGGGAACAGCAACCGCGTGTATCGAGGTGGTGGCCCCTGGTTGCAGAAACAAGGTGAGGAGGAAGGGGAGTGCTGCGCGAAAGCACGGGGAGGCTGTTGGAAGCAGCTGCCATGTCACCTGGAATCTCCGTGTTGCCTGGATCTTGTCCACAAGAACCCGCAGCATGAGCAAAACCTGTTGTCATCAGGCCTCTCAGCTTGGAGGGATCCCTCAACAGCGTACTGCTGCCTGGGGTGTGGGCTTGTCCTTCACAGAGGGGAGCAGTGCTTTGCAACCCATCCAAAAAGAGCACCTCAATTACATAAAGAATAGCTGGGTTGAAACCAAAAGGGATATTAGTTTAAAATAGAAAAAGGTGGGTTTTTTTTCAGAAAGAATATTTCAAAGGTGCATGATCCCATAACATTTACTCCTGGCACCACGTGGTCTGACATTGTTTGACAGTGTACACTTGTCCAGTTGTGAACAGGCCCTTGACTCGGGCACGGGAAATCTGAATTCCATTTCTGGATCTCCTTTTCACCTCCTGGTCTCTGATCTTCAGCCTGTTGCTTTGTTTCTCTCTGTTCCCTGCCATCCTTAGCCCTTGTAATGTAGCAAGCTGGAATAAACTCCCACAAAACAGAGAGCTGGATTTTAGTCCATTAAAAAAAAATATAAAAAAAGGTGTGTGAAACATCCTGAATGAATTTGATTGTCTATTTTTGCTATTAATGTAAATGATTTTTTCAAATAAAAATGTTTTCAGTAATATAAGTTATATCAGTTAAAATGCAAGCTGCATGTACTTGCTGCTACTACATCGAAGTATATAAAAAAACTGAATTGGTGAAAGTCATCAGCAGAGCAAAGCTTCATTTAACGAATAAACTCTCTTTCAGAATGCTGTTTTGGGC